TTTATAAAATCATGTTATTTATTTTCTTGTTGTTTCAGGTGGGGAGATCCCTCCTAAAAAACTCCAGGCCTTACAGAAAGTGTTGCAGAGTGAATTCTGTAATGCTATTCGAGAGGTATGCAACAGTAAAATGTACTGATCTATCAGAAAAACTGAGTTAGGCGTGATCGTGTCCTTATCAAGCCTTACAATGGCTCTAAAGTTTTAGCATTGAAATGACCAGAAGGAAAAGTGGGCTTCCTGTTGAAGATAACTGGGGCTTAATAGCTCTCTCTCTCTCTCTTCCAAAGTCAACACAGAGACTTGTATAATTATTGTCATTGTGTTCACAGTGTGTGGGTGAGATCCTAGTTTGGGACCTTTTGGATGAAAGCTGAAATATTAATGGAGAAGTACTGTTCATTGTGTGGTACAAGATGGTTCTAACTGTTGAGCCTTACTGGAGTACTCTAGCGTATTTGTATCATAGAACGGTTTTCACTTGACTGTCGAAAGTAATTGGTTTTGGTTTTGGTTTTGGTTTTACTACGCCCTTTGGTTGGTTTTGGTTTTATGACAGTCAAGTGAAAACCGCTCTATATGCCATGAGTCAAAATTAAATTCAGGCAAAAATTTTTTAACCTCGGCTGATTCCCTATTTCCTTTGTCCCCTAACCCAATTATTCATGAATTATGTCACTAGAATTTTGACCTGTAACATTTATAATATTTAGCAGTAATTTAATAGTATTATGTTTCCATCACAACGTCTTATAAAACATCATTGTAGTACATATGGTATTCTTGTAAGTTAAAGGGTGACATTGCGGCTGTTTCAACTCTATTTTTTCAATTTTTGTCAGGTTTATGAGCATGTCTATGAGACTGTTGACATCCAAGGAAATCCTGAAGTGCGTGCCCAAGCTACAGCAAAGGTTGGATTACTTGTTCACATTATACAGTGGAACCTCCACTAACAGCTACCTCTCTACAACAGCCACCTCTCTACATCGACCATTTTTTTTGGCAGACAGTCCATACATAAATTCTTGTTTCAACCTCTCTACAGCGGCCACCCCTTCACAATGGCCACTTTCTTCTGCCCTCAAGGTGGCCATTGTAGAGAGGTTCAACTGTAGTCCCTAAGTTTGGTTGGGAGAGTTAAGTCATGATCACTCCGGCTCTGTAACTTAACATTTCCATGATTTTCATGTTTTCTTTTCCAGGCCACTATTGCTGCTTTTGCCGCAAGTGAAGGTCATGCTCACCCTCGTGTTGTTGAACTTCCCAAAGTAAGTATCTGGGCATCCTCGGAGACCCAGGGGCAGATAGTGGGGGCGAGGGAAAGTCTAAACGGGTGGAAGAAAAGTAAAGAACGGCGAGAAGAGTCCCTGGGGACAATATCTTACCAGACCAGTTCCAAACGGTCACCGCCGTTCTGACTTCTGATTGGTGTCAGAAGACACAAAAGTTTTCTGGCACCAATCAGAAGTCAGAACGGCTGCGACCGTTTGGAACTGGTCTGGTAAGACATTGTCCCCAGGGGCTCTTCACGCCATTCTTTACTTTTCTTTGTGCCATATTTTTCCGCCCGTTTAGACTTTGCCTCGCCCCCACTATCTGCCCCTAGGTCTCCGAGGATGGTATCTGGGTGGTTTCTCGGTGTTTTGATGGTGTGATGACCAAAATAATGGTGTACTGTAATAGAAAAGACTGAAAAAAAATGTACCACATCACAATACAGTAGGTAACCAGTGATTATTGTCTTGACCAAAACACCTAAAAACATCCCTTTTCTAGAAATTTAGAACAGTCAAACCTCGATAGAAAGAAACCCTCCTGCTATCAAACAGTCACTTCTCATATTATTTAAGGGGAGCAAGGGCAGCACAGTGGTGAGAGTACTTCCCTGCCACCAAAGTGGCCTGGGTTTAAATCCTGGTATTGACGCCATACAGGGGTTGAGTTTGTTGTTGGTTCTCCCCTTTGCTCTCAGAGGTTTTTGTTGGAGTACTCTGCTTTTACCCTTTCCTCAGAAACCAAAACTTCCAAAGTCCAATTCGATCTCAAATGCACAGACATGTTTACATGAATTCCTAAGAACTCCTAAGTGCTTTGTTGGTAAACAAATTACAAAAAAAATGTAAATTTGGAATCTATTGAGCATTCACCTCCATTGAAGCGGGTACAGTCAACCGGTAGACTTTCCAATTGGCTTTTGCTATAGTTGTATTTCACCTCTATTGAAATGGTATTACGTAGATGGATAGCAGTGTGATCTTTTGACACGACATTAAACAAAGCATGTTTGCTTCCTTCAAAAAGCTCATAAAACGTACATGTAGTCACTGAACAAATGCTGTGTTGGGATGATATGCCAAGTATGTGGGATTAACCCAGTTTGCAACCCAAGGGCCCCAAATTTAAGAAGTCAATGCCAGACCAAAGTGACTGGCGAGGGAGAATCCATGTTGTTGGTGCTACATGTAGCACCTAATCAGACTAACTAAATACTGGAATGGGCAATGACTGATGAGTCAGTCTACTCGTTCAAACAAACTTTGATGCTGCATAATGCATAATGATAAGATGATCACCCTTATCATCTGACCCATGCAGTTTTTGAGTAATTTCTACTTTGACTTTTATCTTAAAAAAATGATAAATTGTAAGTGGTCAAACTCTATTATATGGTCACCTAGCTACATGTACATGTATTTCCCGAGGGTGACTGCTTAATAGAGGTTTGACTGTAAGTATTTCCTTTGCTAATAACATTATTTAATACAATCAAATTTCTTTTAGACAGAGGAAGGTCTTGGTTTTAATGTAATGGGAGGCAGGGAGCAGAACTCTCCTATTTACATCTCTCGTATTATCCCTGGTGGAGTTGCAGATAGGTATGTAGCAAATTTATAAAATCATGTTATTTATTTTCTTGTTGTTTCAGGTGGGGAGATCCCTCCTAAAAAACTCCAGGCCTTACAGAAAGTGTTGCAGAGTGAATTCTGTAATGCTATTCGAGAGGTATGCAACAGTAAAACGTACTGATCTATCAGAAGAACTGAGTTAGGCGTGGTCGTGTCCTTATCAAGCCTTACAATGGCTCTAGAGTTTTCGCATTGATATGACCAGAAGGAAAAGTGGGCTTCCTGTTGAACATAACTGGGGCTTAATAGCTCTCTCTCTCTCTTCCAAAGTCAACACAGAGACTTGTATATTGTCATTGTGTTCACAGTCAGTGGATGAGATCCGAATTTGGGACCTTTTAGATGAAAGCTAAAAATGGAGAAGTACTGTTCATTGTGTGGTACAAGATGGTTCTAACTGGAGTACTCTAGCGTATTTGTATCATATATGCCACAAGTCAAAATTAAATTCAGGCAAAAATTTTTTAACCTAGGTTGATTCCCTATTTCCTTTGTCCCCTAACCCAATTATTCATGAATTTTGTCACTAGGTAAAAAAATATTAACCTGAAAAGAATTTTGACCTGTAACATTTATAATATTTAACAGTAATTTAATAGCATTTTGTTTCCATCACAACTTCTTATAAAACATCATTGTAGTACATATGGCATTCTTGTAAGTTAAAGGGTGACATTGCAGCTGTTTCAACTCTATTTTTTCAATTTTTGTCAGGTTTATGAGCATGTCTATGAGACTGTTGACATCCAAGGAAATCCGGAAGTGCGTGCCCAAGCTACGGCAAAGGTTGGCTTACTTTTTCACATTGTACAGTCAAACCTCCACTAACGGCTCCCTCTCCACAATGGCCACCTCTCTACAACAGCCATTTTGTTTAATGGACAGTCCATATATTCATTCTTGTTTCAACCTCTCTACAACGGCCACCTCTCTAGAATGGCCACTTTCTTCTGTCCCCAAGATGGCCGTTGTAAAGAGGTTCAGCTGCAGTCTCTGAGTTTGGTTGAGAGAGTTAAGCCATGATCACTCTGGCTCTATAACTTAACGTTTCCATGATTTTCATTGTCTTTTCCAGGCCACTATTGCTGCTTTTGCCGCAAGTGAGGGTCATGCTCACCCTCGCGTTGTAGAACTTCCCAAAGTAAGTATCTGGGCTGATAGTTTCTCGGTGTTTTCATGGTGCGATGACCAAAATAATGGTGTACTGTAAATAGAAAAGACTGAAAAAAAAAATGTACCACATCACAATGCAGTAGGTAACCAATGACTATTGTCTTGTCCAAAACACCTAAACACATCCCTTATCTAGAAATTTAGAACAGTCAAACCTCTATAAAGAAGCCTTCCTTCTATCAAGCAGTCACTTATCAAATTCCTGGAATTTTCTTTTCATATTCAAGGTAAGTAAGGGTAGTGCAGTGTTGAGGGCACTCCTCTCACACCAGTGGGGCCTGGGTTCAAATCCTGGCATTGATGCCATATGCCAGTTGACACTGTTTGTTGTTGGTTCTCTCCTTTGCTCTGAGAGGTTTTTGTCTGAGTACTCTGCTTGTCTGCTTGTCCCCTCTCCTCAGAAACTAAAACTTCCAAAGTCCAATTCGATCTGGAATGCACAGTCATGTTTAAATGAGTTCCTAAGAACTCCTAAGTTCTTCACTGGTAAACAAATAACAAAAAATTCTATTCAGCATTCACCTCCATTGAAGGGGGTGCAGTCACCCAGTAGACTGTCCAACTGGCTTTTGCTATACTATAGCTGTATTTCATGTCTATTAAAATGGTATTAGGTAGATGGATAGCAGTGTGATCTTTTGACACAACAATAAACAAAGTATGTGTGCTTTCTTTAAAAGGCTCATAGAACATAAATGTAGTCACCAAACAAATGTTGCGTTGGGCAGATATGCCAAGTGTTTGGAAGTAACCCAGTTGGCAACCCAAGGGCTTAAATTTAAGATGTCAATGCTAGACCAAAGTGACTGGCAAGGAAGAATCCATAATTATTGTTGGCGCTAGCGCCCAACCAAACTATCTATTAGTAAATACTAGAATGGTCAATGACTGATGAGTCAGTCTACTCATTTAATAACCAGCTTTGATGGTACAATGATAAAAATGATCACCATATTATCATCTGATCCATGCAATTTTTGCATAGTTTCTAGTTTGACTTTTATCATAAAAAAAAATTGATAAATTTATTCTAAGTGGTCAAACTCTATTAAGACGGTCACCTAGCTACAAGTACATGTACTTTCCAAGGGTGACTGCTTAATAGCTCAATAGAGGTTTGACTGTAAGTATTTCCTTTGCTAATAATGTTGTTTAATACAATCAAATTTCTTTTAGACAGAGGAAGGTCTTGGTTTTAATGTAATGGGAGGCAGGGAGCAGAACTCTCCTATTTACATCTCTCGTATTATCCCTGGTGGAGTTGCAGATAGGTATGTAGCAACTCAGGGCTCAAAAAATGCCACATCTGGTTGTCTGGGACACTAAGATTTGTTTTTGTGTGCTGATTGGTTGAGAGCTATGTAGGATAAGAGTACAGACCATGGAAATGATGTGATGGTGGCGCAATTTGTTTTTCTCTTTCTTTTGTGCGAGATTTTTGCAGTGAACCCACTGATTTTTGCAGTGAAGCCTGCAGTTTGTGGTTTCAGTTGGGTTTTGAACATTTTGGCTTCATTTCTATGGCCGATAAGAGTACAGACATGGGAAAATAAATTATTGACGTCAATTTAAAAATTTCCTGCCAGGCAAGAACTTTACATGCTTACTTACCCAATTGGCAATTGCCCAGACAATTCATTTTTTAGGTAGTTTGTCAAAAGCAAAAATTAATATGAGGCTTATAGTCCAAAGGACAATTAAGCTGTCGCATGCAGGTATTTTTCAAAACCTGCAACAGACTCAGGTTTATATCGTGCAAGAAAACAGGATGAATGACATACAATGTAAGTATCAATGGAAGAAGTTGATTTCATGTAGGTGAATAACTACAAGAATATTTAAAGTTTTTTACATCATTAGAACAGCGACCATAGGCAAAAGCAAGTTGCCCCAACTGAAATCTGAATTTTTGCATTTCACTCTTCTTTGCCAGTGGAAAATTACCCCCTGAAAATCAAACCTCCCACGTCCAACCGTTCCCTTTTTTTCTTTGTTCGCTTGCAATGGCAGCAGGTATTAATCTTTTATGCCTTTCTTTGCATTAGGAATGGTGGATTAAAACGTGGGGACCAGTTGCTCTCTGTCAATGGAGTGGTAAGTACTTTAACCACCAAATATGATAAACAATAATAAAATCTTTGGAATGAACTTGTTTGTAGCCTTACAACCTAATTCTTCTTTCACTAAAACACAACATATACTATCTTTGTTTTGTATTTTAGAGTGTTGAGGGAGAAAATCATGAGAAAGCTGTTGATCTGTTGAAAGCTGCTGAAGGTGTGGAAACTATGAGTTTTTAAATAATCACAGTTTGTTGATGTAAAAAAAACTATTTTCTGATGTATGATCTGTGATTTGTTTATTTGTTAGTGGTGTTACATGTACCTTTACATGTCATGATCTATTAAATAAGCTTGATAATAAATACAAGGAGGGGGAGGGAGGGGGAATACATATGTTCCTAGTCTGACTTTCAATTATGATTGTTTTGGATTTTGAGGAGTAGACCATGTTCCTGTCAGTATTTAACCCATCTTTATGTTGTTTGTCACCTTTTCCTGTAGTTTTATGTCGCTGTTTCAAGGCCATGTCACTTGTAGCAATTTTACCCTAACAGGGCCTCATAATAAGATGATTTATGGTCATTTATTTAATTATTTTTTAAATTCTTTAGGGAGTGTTCGTTTGGTTGTCAAGTTTACTCCAAAGTGTAAGTATATAATAATAAAACTGCAATTTTTTAATTCTGCTAAATTACTCTTAAGGTCTGTGCCTTCTTTTCTTCCTTATTTCCGAATTTCATGTAATTTTCTCAATTTATTTTTATTTTTCGCATGTTGGACTTTCCAATGATTAACTCTGCTACAGTAACTCGCCAGCTTCTGTGTTGTGTTGTTGACAAGTAATTAATTACCGGTAAATAAGAAAAAGCAATGCCTCCACATTCATAAAGTAGCTACTGCTGCAGTTATTTTTGTTTGGCTCTCAGTTACGAGGTCATTCTTTATACATAATAGCTAGGAGAAATAAAGGCATGCTGAAAGGAACTTAAGTTACAAAAGTGGCTATTCTGTATTGTCCACAGTGCTAGAAGAAATGGAGGCTAGGTTTGACAGACAACGGGGATCTCGAAGGCACTGGTATGTGAAAAAAGTTAATAATACTAATACACAGATAGTTGCACTGGAATTTAAATTTTCAATCTGTTTTTACGTAGTCTTAATAGCCCACTCATACCTCAGCCACCCAGGACTGCACAGGTGGAATCCCTGTGTCACTTGCCCCATAGGCATCCAGTAAATCATGGCATTTTGGGGGGTCACTTGCAGAAATTTTGCATTGACTCCCAGGGGGGTGGAGGTACTGCCATATATGGGATATATAGGTATGTGCTGCTGTGAAGGGTATGTTTTTCAAGCAACTTATCCTGGGATAGGGTGTAGAAATCACAGAGTTTGGGTCCAGAATAGGGTATCATTTTCCAGCAAACAGATCAGTTGGTTGAAGAAAGTACATGTAGTCTAGAAAAGGGAAACTAGGAATTTATTTCTCAGTTTGATATCAAGGTCCAATGTGTCTGCCTCAGTAATTTCTGGAAAATAGCAACTCTAGAATAGCCACATTTTTGTGTAGAGATTTTGGGAGTTTAGTATACACTACATAGTTTAGGGTAACAAAATTCAGCCCATCAGTGAACTAGGTCTGGTATAGGGATAGGGTTTTTGGGTCCCAGCGGCACATCCCCATTCAAACATTCCTAAAGTACCACCCTCGGGGTTTGAATATAAGAAGTAATGTTTATTAAAAATTTAAATTAATTAGCTTGACATTGTTTGTTTTTCTTCTTTCAGATGTAATTGCATTACATCCCTCAAAGCAACAAGGAGTCCCTTAAAGCTATTAGCCAGTAGTAAATAACATTCTTCAATATTTTGTACTATGCAGCCATTTTCTCAGTCAGTCAAAGAGAAAACTGAATGCTCTTCTCTTTTTTAATCTTAAAGCACTGTTAGAGCCAAATTTAGAAAACACACATAATCTGTAGTAAGAAGATTCCATTCTCACATTAAACCAGAACTTACTTTGTCTTTATGAGACAAAGGGTATTCTGAAATATCAAACCAGGTTACCCCGCTTTATGGACACCTGCTTAAAATGGACACCTCATTATTCCGGACAGTTCACTTAAGGGAAAGAAAACCCTTACATTTTTTTTAATTCAACCTCCTTAATACGAACACTCCGTAAATATGGACACTTTTCATGGTCCCATCAGTGTATATATTAATGGGGTTTTACTGTACTTGTTTAATCAATCTGAGAATGGATTTTATGCGTAAAATATTTCTTTCTAAAGGCAAGTCTTTTTGATGAGGAGTCAACCAACCTTGCTAAAATATGACCTTTTTATCTATCTGGAAATGTCTTCAGTGTCATCACAAGGATGTCTCCTTGAGGTCGCTGCAATATTAAAAGGCTACTGTCTTCATGTAATGTCACTCAACCTTTGTATCTCTTTGGTTAATGTCATCATCTTGGTATAAGAAGCTAACCACTGTTAAGTCACCCTGACTAGAATAAACACTCTTGGGACTAGAACAAACTGCTTTATTCTCCTTTGCCAGAGTAAGAGTAGAGTCAGTAGTTAGTAGAGTCAGAGTAAAATAAAATTATTTAAAAGTAGAAAAGACCAACTCCTGGTGTCAGTCTTGTAGTAGTTTCCCTTGAGAGTGTGTTGATTGTAATCAAGGGTCATCATGAATCATCATTTTTAATACTGTTATGATCTTTATGGCAATTATTGTATTAAGTGATGATTATTTGTATTGGTGGATGGGGTTACTTTTAACGTACCTTAACTTTGTATTCTTAGGCCATATGTGTGCGTAATAAACATTCAGGAAACATTGTTTGTTTTAATGGGATCTTAGTTTTCTTTGTGTTTATTTCATCAAATTAAAATAAAATTTCTTGTAACTTTATTCTCAGACTGTTTACTTTACAAACAGTTATTGAGTATCAGGGTATGAAGAACTATAACAAAGTAATGTGGGGGATAGAGAAGGGAATGGTTTCATAATGTACCAACCTTGACTGGCGCTAAAAGAGAGTCCCTGAAAGGGTTCTTCAATCCCCTCCCCCTCCACAAAATCCACATACTGTAGGGGTTTGATTTTGGATTCCATACCCCAACTACTGTATGTGATCCTGGACTCTGGATCCTATAGACTCAGGAATCCATCCCATCAGGTTTTGGTATTAGCCTTGTTGCTCATTTGTAGCCATTTTGTTGCTGATTTATCTCTGCCCATTTTCTTTAATAAATTATTCCTCTATACTGGTATTCAAGAAAGGAAAATATACCTATTAGCTAAAGTATATACTTGCATGTCCTAAGTATGCTAGTATGGCAAAAGACTGTGCTTTGTTGCACAGTCCATAACAATCCTGCCACGTTGATAGAATGTTGTGTTTGATCAAATGCAAACCTTCGGATAGAAATCTGATCAATCCAAAATTAATTATTCTTGGGTTCGTAACTGTAAATTAAAAATAAATTAGAGTGTGGAAAGATCCCATTGCAAACAGAGTGGAGAAATTCCAACCTTTATTTTGTATATCTTGAAGTTCTTTTTTTCAACCAGGCAACTGTAAATTATTAGGATTATTATACCGTCCTGATTTTTTTCATATTATTCATTATTCATATGGACAGTAGAGATGACTGAGAACTTCTTTTATTCCCTTTATGATCTGTAACTTCTTAAGTTATTAATTTTATTTTATTTTCTATGAAGAGCGACCCAAGCTCTCACCTTTTGAGAAATTCTACTGTCTACAAATTAATGGTACTTTTATAACGTAATATTTTAATCTAAAGTTACTAAGTAAATTATCACTTTAAGTCCTTTACATGCATTTGTAAATTTTTTCCCTTGTTCTTTTGTGACAAGGCATGTCATTCATCGACAGACACAAATCTTAGTAGATAACTTTGTAACAACTGAAAAATATCGAATAATATAATTTGCATGCACAATTTACAAATAATAATATTTTTACTCTGCCAAATTAAGTTATAATGATCATAAGCTATGTTATCCTTATCTTGTGTTCATTTTAAAATATCATTATCTAATTTTGGGAAATTTTTTATGAGCAAATCCTCAGAATTTGTGGCTCAAATCCACGAAGAAAGACACTGTTTAATATGTTTCTTTAAGTATAAAAGGGCCAGGGTAAAATGACCCAACAATAAATATTTAAAAGTGTCCATTAGCCACACAAAATATTTTGATGGTTAACTTCTTCTGTCGTACTCTGGGTACCAGGGGTTTTATTCGCGCGTTCAATGAAGAGCTTCGTCAGCCGAAGGCCGACACATCACACAGTAGACCTCAAACCCTACGCCACCTGGCCAAAAACCTATTACTTTTCTTGCTGGGCTTTAAAATTGAGTTTTGTCAGAAACTGCCAGCTTTATAAGCTATAGTGTTTGTAAGAATTCACGGGCTATTCACACTTGGTGCCTGACCACATGCCTGGGTACCAGTGCTGAGTGTACACCTTGGGTGTCCTGTGTACATATTTGCTCCATATCACATAATTTAATTGTCAGAATCATTTTCAAATGTAAAAGTAGCAGGAGGTTATATGTATGAAGAGCAAGTAGATTGCCTTGGAACTGACAGAAAATGTGTACAGATTCAGGGGCCCAGTGTCCACTTAAGCGCCTGGGTAAAAGGTGTCTTCCTTGTACTCAGGCACAACTCTAATGCGTATGGGAGTGTTCACATTAGTGCCTAGTGAGTAACAAACTCTGGCACTGTGCCCGGGCGCCAAGTGTGAACTTAGCCAGAAATTGGATAGCCTGTCTACCATCACTCTTTCCCCTCTTTTCATTATTTTTTTTCCGACAAAAGAGGGAAACTGTACACAAGTTGCAAAAATTCAGAACTGAAAATAGTCATAAATTTTCCAACAAAACAAAAAAATAATGGTATAAAATCTTCATAGAAGAAATAATACATGTCAGAACATGACAAGATTAGTGTTCAATTGAATAATGGGTAAAACAAAATGCTTTCATCTTATATAGATCTCTGCTTCAGAGAAAAAAAGTAGCAAGTAAGCCAATGTGGGGGAGGAAAACCATTAATTTCTTTAGTGGGCCCAAATCTTCCTTACACTGATTGAAATACAATATACATGTATTCAAATTATATTTGCTTTAATTTTTGGATGATTATTTCAATAAGCTTGAATAAGAATAACAGCAGGCATGTCTATTTCTTTGAATTCCTTTTTAATTTGTCTCTTTGCTTCTTCAGTTCATGTAATTCCTTAAGCTGTTCAATTTCATCTTCAAGGCGTGCAATCTTGGCACTGTGGAGAGGATACAGTGTGTTTAAAATATAAATGGGGTCAGCTGGTTATGTATTAATTAATGTTTGGNCAGAGAAAAAAAGTAGCAAGTAAGCCAATGTGGGGGAGGAAAACCATTAATTTCTTTAGTGGGCCCAAATCTTCCTTACACTGATTGAAATACAATATACATGTATTCAAATTATATTTGCTTTAATTTTTGGATGATTATTTCAATAAGCTTGAATAAGAATAACAGCAGGCATGTCTATTTCTTTGAATTCCTTTTTAATTTGTCTCTTTGCTTCTTCAGTTCATGTAATTCCTTAAGCTGTTCAATTTCATCTTCAAGGCGTGCAATCTTGGCACTGTGGAGAGGATACAGTGTGTTTAAAATATAAATGGGGTCAGCTGGTTATGTATTAATTAATGTTTGGAGTTATTCTGTACTTTTAGAGTGTTTATTATCTATCTATTTTCAAAATTTATAGTTATGCAAGAAGGGGGGGGGGAGGGTGAGACTTACAAAGTTTGTTGGCTTTTCAGTGGTTGATAATACATTTTGTCACTTATATTCATTACTTCAGTCTAAGACATAAACCACTAAAATTTGCCAGAGAGAAATGTTTCTGGAAGTCTTGCTTCAGGAAATTAATGTGGATGTTAAAAGCAATGACCCAGGGATCACCTCTCCTTACATTGGTGTCAGGCTGATGAATAACGTCAACATAAACCATCATCACGTGCTGACAGCAAAAACAAGCCGAAAAACTCCTGCTCTCTTTCATCCCCACTTTTAAAGCTTATTTAGCAATTACTGTCATGATTTATCCATAGAGAGATCCGATGTAGGAATTAATAGGAAAGCCCTGATTCGCCAAGCCACAGCAGCCATAACTTATTGCAGAAAATGCAACTTTAACATATGGCACATAAACAACAACACTATTGTGGTAGATCAAGGATCTAGGGACGAGCATGCAGAGACTATCACGTTTCTTTCAACCAAACCCAGGTAGGTACTGCCGGAAAGGAGCCAATCAAGCCATCAGAGGGCCCCACACTAAAAGTCAGAAATGGCCAGCCAGACCAGTTATAGGCTTTTTTTTGAAACTTTTGACTTAGAACCCACCACTTCAATGCAGACTTTTAAATAGACTGCTCTAGATGGACAGCCTTCGATTAAAAGTGGAACTCTCTTTACAACTGGACTGGTTTGGCTTGCCAGTTCTGACTTAAGCATTGACTGGGAATCAGTGCTCAAGCGCAACTGGGATGTGTACCATATGCTGCAAGGAAAATCACGTGTTTTTTAGAGACATAATGCACAAGTCAAACATAATCTCAGTTGTACAGCAATTTTGTTTTACCTTTTGAACTCTTCCCTTTCTATCTGAGAATAGCTACTTTCCATACCAGCTAAATCATCATCATCATTACGGAATCTGTTAAAAAGTCCAAAAATAATGGTAGCCTTTTAAAAAGTGTACACAATGTAGCACTACTCACATTTTCTTACATGCGGATCAAGAAGTTTAAAAACTGGAGCATTTTTAAGGCCATATACCACACAAAAAAAGATACTTGGACGAGAAACCAGCTATCTTTACTGGGTAAAATATTATTAGTCAATAACAAATAAATTATATCACACTCATTCAGACAAAAATTAATAAGCACTTCTCTTGCAGGAACAATGTGGACAGTCCTGATCACAGATGACAACTCTGAAATAACTTTACATTTTTACCTACTTTAACTGTTAACCCCGATAAAAATATAAAAGCACCTGGTCACTTATTTGATTCTTTGCCCACAGAAGGGGGTGGTTACAACGTATTTGGTAAAGGGTGCTTACTCAAGAAAATGCAATAAGGTGCTAATAAATTAAGATATAAAAATAATCAATCTGCTAAAGACTGGAACAGACTTTCACAGGATATGAATGAAACTAGCTGACATATTTCTGGTCGTCACTTCTTTCCACCCTTCCACCCTAAAGGTAACCTCTGTGAACCACGAGCGGTCAAAAAATTTATGTGATGTAGACCCTTTTCTTTTGATGTTGGCCATTAATCAGATCAAAAAATATACTACAGCTCGCGTGACTTGTCGCATTCTTGCACGCTGGATTTTGGCAAGTTTTGGAACATGAACTTCACAACAGTTACTATAACAAGGTTTCCTGCAACGTTGAATGCTGACTTTTTTAAGAAACAACGGCTTCTTATTAAGCTATGTATGTGATGTGGGCCTTTGGTTTCGCTTTATAAAATGCGGTAGTATGTGACACAAACAAAACTTGGACAAAACAATCCTTAAAGCAAAAGGAAAATAATTAATATAGCTTAATATGACAGCACACTCGCAATTTAACCAGCGCAGACAAAAGGTGGTGAATCGACAAGTACAGACACATCCTTTACTGCATTAAAAATCCCCGAGAATCACTTATTAATAATTCAAAATCCTACACGTATCGCCATCATACAATGATCTGAAATATTAAAAACCTGGGTTAGACCTAGCATGAAATAATAATACAGCAGTAAACAGCAGTAAATTGATCAAAGTCAAGATGCAATAATTTCAGCTATGATGAGCCAACTCATCTTATAGAAAACTATAGAAATTAAAACCTTGAAAAGAAAATGTATTCAAAGAAATAAAAGAACAACTATAAAATGCTTTCGATCTGATGAAAGTTCTGTCTGAAACAAGAAGCAACCATTCATGGGAAATAAATTACCACAGTCATGTAAATGTAAATGTAAAATTAATATCTTATTATCCACTCCCCACAGGGCTTTTCAGGGATAATTTACAACACTGGTTGGGGGACTTTGCCAGACTGCTTAAGGTGCAGTTTACAAGTACTGAAGGAATGAGTGATGATGCCCCCATAAATAAGTGTGAAAATGAGATAGACCACTACACCAGGCACAACGTGCCCTACTCTTTACGAAGAGTGTGTGGGTTCTTTAACGTCCCACAGATTTATTACATGTGCAAGGGCTTGTGAGACGGGGCCTACGGTTTATTGTCCTTATCCGAGAAGACTAGAAAGTCTAACCATTTGCAGATGTTATTACAAAGGCAGCACTTTCTCCTCAGTTATTTAAAGACCCTGAGTGTTGGTCCGGCCGGGGGTTTGAACCTACGGCCTCCCGCTCAGCAGACCGGCGCTCTCCCAACTGAGCTAACCGGGCGGCGGTTCCTAGCTTTCAAAGATAAATGATACAAAAAAATTTCAGAAGTGGCACACAACTATCGAGAGTCTTCTGAAGCATACATACTTTCTTGTGAGCAACAAGTAAGGAGCAAACAGTATGACTAGTCTACTGTCACTAGGACATTGTTATGAATATGATCAAAACAACAAATTATAATAAATCTTAGACTCCGTAGCAGGGTGCAAAGAAAATCATTTTTACAGCTTGCCATTCGGGCAAGCTGAAGCTAGTGAATACTAGTCCAGACGTCATTTCAACTAGCCCCAAAAGCTTTTCGACGAGCAGAACTGATTTAACGGTCCCTCTGTTATTCGAATTCCTCAAAAAACATCACTTGCCCGTCGGGCAAGTTGAAAACAGAATTCACTAGCCCGATAGTAAAATCCACTAGCTATCGGACACCACTTTCTTTGCACGCTGCGTAGGCAAATAGATAAAGAAAATTCCTCTCATCTCTCCTTCAAAGTGAATCCTTTTGGTGCCAGTCCCACAATCCGGGCAAATTAAGTTTTGTAAATGCGTTGTTCTGAGGGGAAGGGGCGGCCGTACATAGGCTATGTCGTCCACCATTCATTTTTGACTTGTTAACATAATCCACTGTGCGCAATCTTGCAAGACGTCTTGCAAATTAGCTCCTTCATTTGGCTAATGTCTTACATCACGGAAATCTTCTGGCTGCTTGGGTTCACAGACATTACTTTTCCGGTGGAGAGAAGCTACTTACTCGCTCACTTGATTAATTTTGTTAACTAATGAGGGCTCCACTGAAAACCACTCAGGTGGGTTGGGCTCCCTCTTTAAATATTATTCAAGCCAACCCATCCAATCCAACACCAGCCGGCAAATACAACTATCTCTCCGCACTCCTCATGCTAGGGATGTTTTACAAGAAAAAGGTTCCTAGCAGTGAGGTGAGAAAAGAGACAACTGTATTCACAGGCTAATCCTACACATCGGGTTGCAAGATTATGGCACTGGCTAAGTGGATGACAAATTAATGACCTGAATGGATTTTAGATGAATATTTTAACAGTATAGCTGGTAAACAAGTCATTACAAACCTTGTTCTGTCATAACCAAATATTTCCTTAATATACTTTGAAACATCAACTTCTTCGCCATCTCCATCATCAATGAAGTCATCCATTTCATCCTCAAAAGGATTCCTCTTTCTCTTAAGATTATCACGATCCCTTCTTTTTGGTACATGTCCTTCCCTCATAAGCATCCTATCATTATTAGGCCGCATTGTCTTGGAGCTAACCGATTTTCTGTGACTTATTGAAGCTGCCATTGAAGGTAAAGTTTTTCTTTCAATTCCTGTTTGTCTTCTCGCATTAACTAACTCTGAATGTTTCAAATCTCGTTTACTATCTTGAATTTGCCTGGAAGGCTGTGTTTTGCCAGGAATACCTTCACCTTTAAATTGTAAAGATCCTTTAGAATGCATTTGTCCATTTGTTTTACCTTTGCTCACAGACTTACTAGAAGAAGCCTGTTTCGTTTCGAGAACTTTTCTTTGCTCTGAACTTCTATCAGATTTTTTCATGTGCTCTTCCTTCTTTTTCAGTCGTTCTTCCTTTTTTCTCACATGTTCTTCCACATCACTGTTTTCTTCATGTTTTTTACTACTTCCTTGCGCCATTGCAGTTGACAATTTAGCTCCACCATCTTTATTTCTCTCAGCCATAGCTAGAAGAGCTTTGAAATCCATGGGTGGTCCTTTTTTGTCCTTCCCTGGCCTTTTATGAACTTTTCTAGACGATGAACTCCCTTCACTAGTCTTATTGACAGGTTCAAGAGATGGTCTTGTTTTTTCTCTTTCAAACTTCTTTGAAGTTATCTTCTGTGGTTGTTTTGTAGATCTGTGATCATTCTGTTTCATATTTATTCTATCTGCCTGCTTTTCACCTGATTTAATTTTGTGAGACGTACCCTTCTGTTCATTACTGGCTGTTTTATCATGAGATGTACCATTTACTGATTCTTTCTTCTTGATGCCAAGAGATTGAGTCAAGCGTTCTTCAATCCTAGCTCTCCTTGCAGCCTCTTCCTCAGCTGTATGGACAATCACGGAAACCAATAACTTTAATAAATTACATGTCACTAAAATAACTGACTCAGGCTAAACTCAAGAAAACAGCTGACCAGTAATCCTTCCCCGCTGTGGGGCTGTAGACAGAGGGGTTTTTCCAGGGAGTCCAACCTGTGATTCTGCAACTATCCTGCCAAATTTTTTTTGTTACATTTTGTGTTGCAACATCCCTCATAAAAGCAAGTACCAAGTGCAAATTTTTTCTCACTGCTATATGCCATGATTGTGCCTGGTCGTTGTTGCTTACAGGGTTGTCAAGATTACCCTACAAGCTCAGCCTGTAGGACTTGGCTCCACCACCCCCAAAGAGTACACCAAACCCCTACCGATCTTATTCACAAGACCTGCCATCTTAGCACAGACTTAAAGTTCAATGGGATAAAAGTAATGTCATGTGATATTACAGGGGGCAAATAAGTGATAAAATTTGCTAATATGACTATCCAAAAAAATAACAACAATCACTTCCACCCATAATAAATATTTGCCATTAATCTAGAATAAACAAACTTTCATTTCAAACTTTCATTGTCATTTCTTGCATGGGAAATGTTTTCACTTGTTGCCCCCTGATAAACCATGTGATATTGTTAACGCTTAAGTGGTTGGTCAATTTTGACTTACCACATTACTATGTTTTTTGATAGATTGTTTTGTTTAAATACATGTACACCAGCACCTGTAACACACAAAGCTCACAAAAAATTAATCATCTGTCAACAGAGGTGGAACAAAAACTGTAAGAACTACAAATCTGGGATTTGATTTTCTATTAATCAAAGGTCTTACCTGCTTTCCTCTTCTTTTCGAGTTCTTTCTTTGCCAGAAAGGCTTTCACAGCCTCATCTGACACCCCACTCTGGTTAGATTTGTTATTCTTTGAAGCCACATCTCTGGTTTCCTACATTTAGAAAACCTTATTATAGTTACTCTGTGAAATGCCAAATAAATCTATACTTGAATCTTATTTCAAAGAAAATTTTATAGCTATTTTTCTCCTAACATAAAAGACTGCTGCAGTGCGTAAAAGGCTGTTCTGCACCTTTTGCAAGCCCAGCCATTGTGCCATAGAGCTCAACAACTCCAGGCAAAAAATTGTAGACTTCTAAGTACCAGTCATAACTGCTTTTAGAATTAACTGATACAGTAGGTTTTAAGAAAGAGTAAGAGATTGACGTCAAGGTCAAGCTATGTGTGACCACTAATTTGTGCGAGCACCTCCCATAACCTATCCTTAACACCAAAGTCATCAAGGCCTTACAGTACTGTTGGACCCCCCCTAACCCTAACCCTAACCCCCCCCCCCCGGAAACAACCAACTCTTGAATTGTAAGCCACTGTGTGTCCAATTGTGTCTGGCTCGAAGTTGCTTCTATCTTTCTTTCATTGGTCTTTGGAAAGATGATCGGGTGCAGGCATGTTTGTTATCATATTTGTCGAAAGAATTACTCATTTTCTCTTAGGCAAAACATCTCGAATCTCTGCCAGTCGATTTTTGTCTTCTTAACTGTGTACTACGATAAAACTTTCAAACACTGACTAGAATCCTCTTCGATAAGATCACGAGTTACTTTCTTCATCACCTTCATTCACAAATAATCACAGTCTAAAATGTTGAAGGACAAAGTCAAAATCAAGGTTGATAGACGTCTTGTAACTTAATTTCAACATTTTTTCCGAGGTAAAGAGATTTAGAGCTCTGAAAGGAGCATTTTCTTCGAAATTTTGGTCTGTATAGCAAGTTATGGACCGCAAATTGACCAATCACATGGTGAAAACAGACTCAGCCATATAATAATGACATTTATTTCTCATGATTGTTCTTGCTTTCAGATCAGCTTTAAGCTTTAGCCATACATACAGTAATAGAAATATTAATCATTATAATTACCTGTTTTGGTGCTCGAGCTTTATTCTGCGAGGCCAAGTTCATCAGTTGCTTAAAATCCATACCTTGGTGAGTAAATAAAAACCTTTTACCAAAATAGCTGAGTCAATATTTTTCCTGGTGTTCGTCTTCGAATAAAAGCTTTACTTCTCGCGATGGAAAAATTGTAGATTAAAATTACATCTAAATTTAATTTATCACAAGAAAATAAAACGTGCTCATGTGGAGTAAACGTGTCAGTACAGCAACGAATGCCCACACAATAGAAAAGCCAACTAAGGCTCACTGATACTTTAATATTTAACACCCCAAAACGAAAGCAATATTTGCCATTGTTATTTCAAAGTAATTTCTTTCGTGTTTCGTATACATATACTCCTCTATCGCCATATGAACCTAGGAGTCAAAGTTGAAATATTTCCCTTACCTTTAAGCTGGTAATTTTGCTGTTTTAGCTCGCTAAAAATTGTACGGCTTCAGAAAATAAAGGAGATTTTTATGGAACTATGAGTCAACAGGAACAACGGTGGCCATTTTATTAGTTCCCAGATCACTACCTCCAAATTACCTTCCCAGCATGCATAGAGTAACACTCTCTATGAAGACACGTGACCTTACGGCTACCAGTCGTTTCGACACAAAGTCGTTTCGATACAAGTCCGGGGCGGGCGGGGGGAGGGGGTACTCCCTTAAATAAGCTATATAAGTATGTGCCACCCCATCGGGTAGGGTTTTGCACCGTTTTGGTCTGAAAACGGGTATACACTTTGCCCATTTTGGTCTGGAATCGAGTGTGGTTTTCGAGGGAACTGCAGGAGTGTATGAACGTTTTTATCGTTTCAATTCCAAATGAGTAAGAAAGAAAGAGAAATATACGAATTCTAAATGGATTTGAATAATATGTTTGTTTGCGCTCCAATGACATAATTTCTGCCTAAAGGCCAGGTCTGAAAACGGGTATGGTTTTACAGGTCTGGTCTGAAAATGGGTGCTAAAAATAACCCTTTTTGGTCTGAAATCGGGTCAGGATTTTAAGAACATGGCGGCACATCCCCACCAAGAATTGGCAGGAGTACCCCCAGGGGATACCAGCTTATTCAGTCAGTTACTTAAGAACAAAAACAGGAACCCATCAATATGACAGGTTCTTGACGAAAGATATTCACCCCAAATGTCTTTCTTTTTCACGCGCAAACTATCATTGAAGGGTTCGAAATTTCTTTTCAGTTTGCTGACTATGTGATTTATTGGTGTTGAAGTAGAGCAAGAGACGAGTGCACCCCTCCTGGTTTGTATCAAAAGGACTTGTATCGAAACGACCGGATTCCTTCAGAGTATTCCAAATCAGTTAAAGACACAAAAGAAAGTGGGAAAACATGACAATTGTATAACTTGCAAGGACAGGGTTATGGGCTCCTGGTCCTAGCTCCTGGCAATAGCCTCCCACGCAGGCGTAAGGGAGTTGTATCTCCCTCTCCCCACCACCCTCCAAAGAAAAAAGGCCTGCCTCACAGACGGAACTAAACTTTTAATAAATTCCGTCTGCAAAACAGTGCCGAAGTCCTTGTTCTGGGTTCCCACCTGTTTACCAGGATTTGAGTATGCTCCATTGCATGATTGACCTAGTTAAAGACTGACATTGTCAATTTTCTAGTCAGAAGGAATTTATTAACGCACTTCCGGTAATTTGTTAAGCCGCACCTCGTACTCGCGTCTCCCGCCGCGTGCGTGACTTTCCGCTACTCCCCCAAATAGAAAGCTTGCTCCGAGGCTAAGGGCCCAGGATAAGGATGTCGACGCTGCTTCGCAGACGTTACTAACTGGGGTTACATCACGTCTACGGTGCAGGCTACAAAAATACTACTCCCCTAAAAACGCATGCGTGAGAAGGGTATCCAGGCAAGAACCGCCGGCCAACCTCGTCCCCAGGGTTGCAAGTTAACCATTATGTCTCTTGAAAACAGGAGCTCCGGAAAACCTAGAATGTCTCATTCATTTTCCCAAGAACCAATCTGACCGTAATTTTCTGGGACCTAAGGTTGCCCTAGGCTCGATTATCAGCCGCTGATAGGGAGAATTAGCCCGGACTTATGAGAAGAACGGACCTGGGAGCTGAGACTCGCCGAGGAAATCGAGCCTACGATTGCCCTAGGGTTCTGGGCAAACGGCTCCTGGTTCTGGAATGTTCAAGGTTTTACCTGTTGGCCGAATCTGAGGTAAATGCCATTTTTACCTCCGATGGAAATCATCGAATGCTCTTCTTTTGCATCGAATAATCAGGCTTGATAGTTGATCAGGGTAAAATAAGCGAATTTTGATCAGATAATCTGGAAGTTGAATAATGGAGGCTTCTGAAAAGACGGTGATGTTCTAGTCTTCCTCCCAGCCGTTTTACTGTCGTCGCTGGGAAGGAGCGCTTCGTGACGACACTGAAACAGCTATGAGGGAGGCCGGTGAGAACGGTTTTGTCCGTACAGAGGACCGACGGCTATGTCATGGATATGATTGCGTGCATGCGTAAGGCCATACCGCGGAGCTCCCTTGCACGTTTGCTTCTTCCGCCTGCACATAACATACTAGTCCTGCGTCAGATAATCCAGTGGGACTGCTAGCATAACTTTTTTAAAAACTTTGAATGCATGCGCAGACGTCCGCTCAACGCGTAAATAAAACCGACTGGTTCCTTCCTGCCGGATCTCTGACTGTAGCAGTAGAGCCAGACGTCGGCTTGACGTGAAAATTAAAACAAAACTGAATGCAAGGATGGTAATACGGCAAAGGGTTGATTTATTTGGGACCAATATTTCGGCTAACAAAATTAGTCTTCTTCAGGGTCAGGGCTGCATTGACAGAGAATACTATAACTGTTCCTAAAACATGTTTTAATAACTTTTTTAGTGCGGTTCGAGACCAAGAGAGTGGCACTTTGTCAAAGCGAGAAATTAAAAGTAAGGTCCTCAACCCCGAAAGCGCTATAGTTCTAACAAAGAACTTTAAAAGTTGTCATAAATTTTTATCAAAGTTTTATGGAGTGAGAAGACGGCCCTAACTACCTGCATTATTAGGAGAGAATTTCCATGGAGCTGAAAGATTTACAAAGACCCGATTTTTCTGCAGAAAATGGAAAGGCTAGATTTTAAAAGAGTGATTTTTTAATTGCAAATTCTAAACCTCGTTAAAATGTGTCTGGGGCCGATCGGGTAAAAACAAAATTCGAAACCTAGTCATTTTATCTTACTCAGGACTAAGTCTTTTTAAAAGACTGAATACGAGATCGCCAATACAGTTGATCGATTGTCTGCCCCTTAGAAAATGACTTAGGTTAAACATGAAATTATTGTCCGTTGTTTAATAGTTTTCTGCGGACGTTTTTTTAGCTATTTTATGGTACAATAATGCCGATTAATTTCAAATTTTTTCGGCGTTCCTTCAAAGCAACTACGTAGAGGCTTAAAATGTACACATGTTCAAGCCGTTTGAAAAACATAGATTTTGGTGCGATTCCTGCTTAAACTCTTGATCGGATAAGATTGAGCAGTGTATAGTCAAAGAGTTCCTTAGTACTATTATTATGATGTTCATCTTACGCTCCCCATTTTTGCCAGAGCCGTCAATGTCATTTCTATAAGTAAGTTTTGACATTTGCGTAATTATAGGTCTTAAAAATCTCCATCCATATCTAGACGATTGTTTTCAGTTTGAAGAACCAAATTTGCGGTTTGTTTGTGTATACACTTGAAAGAGCAAAATTGCAGGCCTAACTCTTTCCATCAATTACCATCCCACGACATTACTTTGTTCTTCTTTCACCAACAAGTTATGAATTAACACTGATCAAAAAACTTACAAGAAAATATCTCCGGGGAAGTGCAAATTTGTCGATTTTAATATCCTTTCAGTGGAATTCCAAAAGAAAGCCTTTACTTGCGTAAGTTTCAGCTGCCAAAGAAAACGCGGAAATAATAGGCTCTTTCATGAAGAAATCATAAAGAAACTCGTTGTTTTATTCGCCATTATTGTTGAAAAACACTTAAGATTCTCTGATTTGTGGAAGAAAAGTCCATGATAATAGTTATTTACTTTAAGCTTGCACATGGCGGTTTTAAGCACTTTACCAAAAAACTTTCATTTAGAGTTCTTAATTACATAAAAGCCTTAGTTAACGTGGGCAGGCTGTTTATCTTGGTTCTATAGCGTCTATAGCAGATGTATTTCGTTAATGACTTAACACGCCTTAGACTAAGTCGCCTGCCGTTTGAATACAAAGACGCACTCTCCTGAATAGGAGAACCTAAGAAGTTTAATATTCGAGTGAACACTCGGTTCACACCTCTTTGTTTGTACCCTTTCTTCTAATCGCAGCTTCATGGCGCCTTGTAAAATGTTTTTAATATATCCTTGGGTCTAATGCGACTCTCGGCCGAGGCCGAATCTCGTAGCCGTTTTGCGAATAGTCACAAACTTTGACACATCCTCAAAAACAGATGTTTTCTGAACAGATTTTCATTTGCATATTTGGTTCTTAATAAACTGCGGTTACGATTTTATCAAAATTCTAAAGATGGAAACTCTCCGCCGAGTCAGCGAAAATGATGTTAATTCTGCGAGCCTATTGCCTTCTGAAATTATATTTAACAGCAGAAGTGATGGAAACGGCTAAGCCTGTGGAACCATGTCCGAAAAATAAATATGCGCTCATTGAAAAGTTATGATATTAGAATTACTCATTTCGCTTATTTACGTTTGTGTAGAGTGGGCTGTTCATTAAGTGTATTGTTTTAAGCAACAATCATTTGCTAAGATTTCTACACTTTTTGGCTGAGAGCATGTCTTGATTAAACCAGCATCATTAACAAATGCATTTCTTACTTTTATTGTTTCCATTAGAAATAGTCTCACGTATTCATCTTTAAGAAAACATACAGTAATGTGTTTCCGAATAATTGTTCGCTGAGCAGTAGTAGAACATATTTCAAGGGCAATGAATTTTCGATAGGCCATTCTTTATCAGACATAATCATTGTGTTTAAATAATAGACATGATGTACATGTTTCTAAAGTATTTCAGTTCAATTTTTCTCGGGGCACAGGGATGTATAGCTAGTCACCTGCCTTTGGCTGGCAACAAAACTCGATGATTTTTAAAATATGTATCTGAATCTAGAGTTAAAAAAGGAAAAACGACAAATAACAGCGACACTGTATAGGAAAATGTATAGTATAATGATGGTTTTAATTACTGAAAACCTTCCT